GGCGGCCGGCGGGGCGGGGGGAGGGAGGCAGGGCCGCGCGCGCCGCGCTCTGGCACGCCCACTCGCGCTCGGCGCCCGCCCCGCCCCGCGCATGCGCCACCCGCCCAACAGGGGCTCGCACGTGCGGCGGAGCCGCACCCGTCCGCTAGGGGGCGCTGTGCAAGCCCGGAGGCTTTCGTGAGGGAGCGGGAACGTCCTGAGGGGTCACCGTGTTCTTGTGGGGGATTGTGGGGTCATTGTGTCCTGAGGGGACATGGCACCCGTGAGGAGTCACCGTGTCCTGAGGGGACATCCTACCGCTGAGGGGTCACTGTATCCTGAGGGGACAGCTCACTCCTGAGGATTCACTGTGCCCAAAACTGCAATCCCTCCTTGAGGGGACGTTTCTGCCCTGACAGAGCTAGGTAGTTTTCCATCAGGAAGAGATTCAATCTCTTCGTCTGCTCCACCGTGTAGTTATAAAACCACCAGGTCTGTTGGTGGCCGTGATGCAAAGGGAAGGCATGTGTGTCTGCAGTGGCCAGGAGGTTCCATAGTGACAGCTCCATGACACAGCCACCTGTGCTGCAGCCTGGCACCACAAGCACAAGGCCCTCCCTCCAGGTAAGCTCAGATGTTGTAAGGGCGCTGGTGATGTAGTAACACCAGTTATGACAGCAAGAAGGGAATACGTTGGCAGTCTAGGGAAGGCATGGCACTGCCTTGTGCCCATGCAGGAGGACAGGAACATCGGTACCAGCTTCTTTCAAGTTCAGGGGATAGGACTGTAAAGTGACATCTCTTACTACAAACCATGCCATAAGGCCGGAAACAAAGGTGCATGAGCCTTTATTTCCCCGCCCTAACCACTAGAGTCATTACCCTCACCTTGCCTAGCCACACACATGATAAGGGAATTAAAAAGGCATAGGGCTCAAAGTTTGCTGTGCAAAGCTGGCTGGTCAAATGCAGCTGCAGTATTAGGGCGTCCCAGATAAAATATTTCCTGGAGAGAAAGAACTGTTTGAGCTACTGTTCAGGTGCTGTTGTAGCTGCAGTAAGCCACCTGTCGTGTTCAAAGGGAGCTCCAAGAGGCACTTGGTGCAGGCAGGTAGGAGAGCAATGAACCTGTCTTACAAAAGGAGATCAGCTCAGTTTGGCTAGTCCAGTGAAAGGAATGCAAACTCAAGGTGTACTTGCTCTGCCAATCTACCAGGGAAGCTGCACTTGGGAAAAGATGGACAGAGCTGAAGGCCAATGGTAGTATAAAGAAAGATTATTGATTGGGTCTTAATACTCTCCTGGAGGAAATCAGAGAATGATTTCTCACTCTAGGAGGTGGAACTTCCCAGAGCAGACAGCAACCAGAGTAACAAGAGGCAAAGACCCATTACAAGGTGCAGCTTCCATGCGAGGATGGCAAGGGTGAAGCTTGGTTTCATGAGCAGAGCAGACAGGTTTAGGGAATCCCAGTCCTGGCTTGAAAGCTATTAACAGTGAAAAAAGGGAAAGCATGACCTATGGAGAATTTCTACACCACAAAGAGTAGGAAAGCTCTTTGGGCACCCCTGCTCAGGAATGATCCCCTTAGCTGCATCTCATTTCACTTGTTGGCAATATCCTGGTCTTTGTTCCACCCTTTTTTCAATGTGATGAGCCATTGGGGTCTACATGTCTCCATATGCAGAAGTGGGGAATCTCCATTCAACTCAAAGACCAGGTATGTCTCTCACTAGAGCCTGAGTTCTTAAGTCTGTTAGGCGCTGTACTAATCACAGAAGTATGTCTTTCCTGAGAGGTAGATAATCTAAACAAAGGGATTACAACATGAATGGTCTAAACTCCAGCAGGTAACTTCTGTCTGCAGTCTGCATGGCAACTAGAACAATGGGTGGACTCCCAGCATTAATTATTAGAGAGTTTCAGTTTGGGGTTTTTTTGCAATCTTCTGTTCTTAGATTGATGTTTAGATAGCAAACTCTTTGAGACAGCCCCATGCTTCTACCCTGTGCTGGTGTTGAACCTACTATAAAGCTTTTAATTCCTGACTGGGACCCATATAAAAATTAATTATTTTCCATCACGTGTTGCCCTCCCCAGGGCTAATCACAGACTGATAGCATGATAAATACCAACAATTTTTTATTTCTTACCCACCATCAAAGCAGGGAGAAAGAGGATGAGGAAAGCATGAACCAGAAGATCCAGTACATAAAGCAAGAGAAACTGTTTGAGAGCTGGAGAAAGGCAATAAGTCCTGTAATCTAAAAAATGGTTTGATACTATAGGCTCCTGTGGGGAGGAGGGACAACAAAGGGCTAAGGTCCACTTTATAAAAGAGCAGCAGCATCTAGAATCACAAGCTAAAACTTTTGTGTTCAGGGACATGGAGAAAAAGGGTATAAATAACAGTGGGATTGGCCTCAAAAGTCTCATCCAGAGTGAGAGCTAAGTGAGTAATCATGAAACCACCAAGGCAATGGGCAGATCTGACTTGATCTTAGAATTAGGCTTGACCAAGTTTGATAAACCAGAGTTTGCACCGTGCTGCAACACACTGTCAAGCAAGTTCGTTCAAGCCAAAGTGGATCTACCATTTTACTTGTCAGGACCATCAGCAGACCCCAGCAGCCACTCCTGTACTTGCTCCTGCAAACATCTCAGCACCAAGGTCTAGCTGGGACACAGCTTTGGCCTCTCTCCATTTCCCATGAGCCATGAAACTTGCTACATTTGGAACATTGTTTTCGCTCTGTTTCACAGTGGCTCCCCTTTGATGTTAATTGTTTGCAGGCAAAGCTTAGTGGAGAGCGTAGCCGTTCTCTGGTTTGTCTGCTGGTTACTACTGAGCCGCCCAGACCAGTGGAGAAAATGCTTTGATGTTAATGAGCTGCAGACAATTTCACTTAACACCGAGCACGGCCTGGCATCTCAGAGGTAAGACTTTCAAGGCAGATCCTACAACAAGTCTCTTCGACATCCGTTTTGCCACAAGAACAGAAAATATTCAGACATTCGAGCACAAACTGGTCTTCCTACGCAGTCTTGCACCACACCCAATATCATTACAGCCCCAGAGATGCCAGAGGCAGGGAAGTAGTGAGAGTTAAAAATGGCCCGATAGAATCACATGACCTTTATGGGACTCAGAAGAAGCATGATTTACCCTCTTGCCCCATTAATTGCCTGCTTCTGAGGTCCTGGAATACACAGAAATTAGAAAAGGGGATTGACTCTAAATTGCTGATTTGCCTGGTTCCTTTGTGGCTGGTATTCAAGGCAATGCCATTCTGAACATAAGACCTTCTCCATCAGCACAGCAGATGTCTGAATGATGTCTGAATTTTATTGCCAGCTGCAGTCAAGTGAGACTTGCACAAGCAGCCTTGGACTATCCTCTTTCTTCAGTGGATATTTCAGCAAAACCTTTTCTGTCAATCTGCTCCAGGCAGCAGCACATTGCCAAGTGCACGCAAACCTACAGGTCAGTGATGGACCCCTCAGAGAGACAGGGTACAAAAGAGTCTGTGGACGTGTTGTAGCTTCCTTGGCTTCAGTCAGCCCTTGTTGTGGGCCCCAGACCAGGAGGTTGGGATTTCTCCCTAGGGTAACACCTTATGTACTGGAGAGGGCCTAGATTAGGCAGAACTCCTGCTGTGGAGAGATATTGCAGGAAGCACAGAAGGTGAGAAGGATACCTGTCCAGTGGAAATGTGAGGTACAACACTCTCAGGAAGGAAGCACTGAACCACAAGTATGAACAAAGAAAAGTGAGAAAAAGGCAGAAATTAAATTTTGCAAGCCTCTAGCCATTATCAGCAAAGTCTATTTATCGTATCACACAAACTCTGCTTCTATCCAGACTCTGCAAGCTTTTGAATGGAGTGACCCAGTCCTCTGAGAAGCCCCAGCCAAGCAGAAGCAAATAGACTACATCCTGTCAAGTAGAGAAACAAATGAGACCTCACTAAAAGTTAAGGAGAAACATACCTTCTTCTGAGGAATACGGCATAATTCCAATATATCACCTTTGTTAAATGATTTATAGCAATGAGAGAGAGAGATACTAACTCTTAAGTTTTCTTGCCAGAACAGGATTATTCCCTGCAGCAAACTGGATTACATAGTTAAAATAATGAAAGCCAAGTCCAAATGCTTGTGCCATGCCCACTGCAGGGAGGAGCTCACACAAATGTGTGTGAGCCTACACTGAAATAAAACCTAACAAGGTAGAAAGTGACATCATGGAGGAGGCAATGACTGATCATAGGCCAAGGAGACTGTCCAGCAAAAGGAAACACTGCTCTTTGGAAAGTATACCCAGGTCAGTGGGAAGAAACACAAAATTAACCTTTGACAACATATTCAGCATCTGTTGAGCACCAAAAATCACTCCATCCAAGCAAACTTTGCGGGCCATGTTTTGACACAATGAGTACATCCTGCAAGAGATGACACTGGCAGACAAGAGGCTGTTCGTTGACAATAGCCGAGTTGTCTGCAACATGTTTAACTTGAGACTGCAGCATGACTTGAGACAGTTCTCATGCTCTAAATGCTTTGCTCCAGTGCCACTGTCCTTGGTACACACAAGGTGTATATTCTCTGTGGGACACATCCATTTGAGGCAGCACTGTTGATCATATATGTGCATGATGCTTGAGCCGTTTTGCTGCCAAAGGAACAGATAATGGCTGGGTTCTGCTTTTCCCCCACTTAAGGGAACAGGATCAGCTATTTTTTGTCTGTGCCACTGCTGACTGTCAGGAAATTCATAGGAACTTAATTAACTTTTTTGTGATTC